AGATGTGTATAAGAGCAGAATGCTACACCACCCTGAAACATTATTGGTATACTTACTATCATTTGCTAGAAACACCATGGACGTTGAAGCATTGTAACCGTTAAATTCTGTCCGCATGTACTTTACACCGACTCGGCGTACACCAACAAAAGGGGGAAATCGGAGAGTGCACTTAATTGCATTAGGGTGTTCATGACATTCTTCATAAATTGTACCAGTAGTAAATATTGAATTGGATATACTGTTCTCAAGATTTATTAATTCTTTTTCCTCATAATGCGTCCCGTTGTCGTTCACCCATAAACCAATACCAAACATTACATTTTTGTTTTCACCGTCTGCTAGGCCGGTATAGGCTCGCAGTTCAGTTTCAGTGTTACCGCTCAAAATAGGCGTTTGACTGTATGCTGTAATATCAGGTACCTTTTCTAAAAAACAAGTTAAATAAAAAAAATTAAAAACCACTTACTTTTTAAAGCAGTTCCCAAACAAACCGTATTTCTTTTAAAACTATAACTGTACACTATTTAACTGTTATTGAACAAATGAATATGTAAATTTTATCTTTTTAGTTTACTGTTTTCTCATTTTCTAATTTATATGACCAATTGAAGGCTTTAGTTTATGCCATCTGTAGTCACGCCCTTGGTCGATATATATTTTAAGTGGGTGTGGTTGGCACAAGAGTCCTTCGGTTTCTAAACCTTGAGGTTAGGGGGTTCGAATCCTCCCTTTGCATTTCGTGTCCTTGGACAAGGCATTTCACCTAATTTACGCAAATTAATTATGTAATAATCGAATCAAAGCATGACGGGAATTACAAAAACAATTTTTAAAGTACGAGAGTGGCATTTAGAGGTGCCATATTCTAAAAATATGCTCACCCTATACAAAACCAAGGTAGAGCTTAGATGGGTGTGTACTAGCTGGCAGATTGACCAAGTCCTCATACTCCCAGAAGACATATGTTCTTTGTCACACTAATTATTGATATTATAGCATTGGATTTTCATTAAAATTTAAATTATTTCATTGTCTTGCATTTACAATATTTAGTAAGATGGGAACAGGAGAGAACTCTATGATTTGACCTTCTTGAATATAGCCAGTACCAACCATAGGGGTCAGTAGACCAAAACAAGAATAAAATGAACATAAGAGTATACAGTACATACCAAATATTATACAAAAAGAATAAACAAATTTAAATAAACCTTTTGGAATGCCAAGTGAGGAGCTTGGTGTCCCATTCATATTTGCACCTTTGTGTTCATAGTTCACCATAACAATTACTTCGAACGAGTAGTACGTACGTACTGCAGGTAGTAGGACCGTATAACTTTGCGACTGAAGAGGTTCGTCTACACTGACTGAGTACACAATACTTGGTGTATTCACGTTCCAATATTGTATATTGTATCCTTGTACAATTCCTATACCAACGTGTGCATCGTAACTCCAAGTATCACACGTTAAAATAGTGGAGAAGTTTGCAAGGCGACTGTAATAACACGGGTTATATAAAAAAGAAGGAGTTTCTGTAAAACAACACCATTGTTATGCGGATTAGCTTAAATATGATTTTTATACTTCTACTTAAAATTTGAAAAACTAGACACAATAATATTTTAGCTTTTCCTCCATTGCCTAACTTTTTTTAGTTATCATCCTTATTATTATCATCAACATCTTCATCAACATCATCATCATCATCATCATCATCATCATCATCATCATCATCATTATTTTCATTTTTATTATTCCTATTAATTAATATTATGGTTATTAAAATTTATATTATTAATTATAAAATTAAAATTATTAATATTATTATCATAATTATTATTAACAAACTTAAAAATATTGTTATAATAATATCAAATTTATGTTAAGCCAAGCAAATAAATGTTCACTTTGATGCGGATTGGTCACCGATATCAATCACTAGTGACCGGGAGGGGTAGATCTCTACGTAGTTTTTATCCCTCCGCCATTAGGACATTGGACAAGTCACTAGTTTGAATTTTTGTATTTTATGCTTGTTTTTGTTAAGGAACCAGACCGAATTTCATTGTACGTGTATTGTACATGTATATATGACAAATAAAGTTATTGAATACTGAGTATTGAGTAATTGTCACCAGTGGCTACAATCAAATGAAATTTGATTTTATGATACACTCTGAGCTAAGTGAAGTTCTTTGATAATATTAATATTATCAAAATTATTAATATTATTATCATTAATAATTATAAATTTATTTAAAATTTGTATCATTATTATTAATAAAAATTATTATTATTCTCCTTTAATTTATTCTCTTACTTACATTTTCCAATTCTATGTCTATATGTCAATACAGTACTGATTAAAGACAAACATGTTTTATATTTAAATAGAAATTATAATGGTACTGTTTACCAATGGGACCGAATACCGTAACTGGACTGGCAATTCCTTGTGTTGCCACGCCGTCAATATCGGCATTTACGGACACAGTGACACTATAAGGTTGGTTGTAGTCTATCGACAAAATGTTGATTTCTATCCAAGTTTCCGTTATGTTTTCGATAGTTTTTACTTCATCCGCTGATGCCGCCTTCCAGTATTTCAAAACGTAACTGTTGGCATCTCTGTTACCAAAATCATGATTTCTGTCCCACGCTGTCCAAACTACAAGGATGCTCGAAACACTACTTTCAATAGAGGGTGCATCATACAGTGCTGGAAGTGCTACACATAATAATACAATCATTTGAAGTTTAATTATTTTGTTATTGATACACGCCATGCAGACTTTCAAGAAATAGTTTGCTACAATATCATTATTAAACATTTTAACTCAATTTACTTTTTGTTTATATTGTACATTATTATGTTTTCGTCATATAATTTCTAAATTTAATAATATTATTTATAAATACATAATATTATTTATAATGATGGTGAGGTTGCTGTTGCTATTGTTGTTGTTGATGATGATGATGATGATGATGGTGATGATGATGATGGTGATGATGATGATGATGATGATGATGATGATGGTGATGATGATAATGATAGGCATGTCAGGCGCTCGCGTAAACGATGTGAAAACAACGTCGCGGGCCGAAAACAACATTGCAGGAGCAGGGTTCGGATTTTTAAATATTCATTACTCGGCTGATATTTCATGTATCATTATGTAACAAACACCATTAGATTGCTTTTTATCTTTTTATCTTTTATGCTTTCGTTTGTAATTTACCCCATTAAAATCCGTTCACTAGTTATTAAATGAAAGCGAGTAGAATTTGAGACGCCACCATCGGACCTGCCGATAAGCGCCGATGGACTGGTCGCTTTTTTCACAACAGATCGATTCAACCATGCTCACTTCTTATTGATTTTCTGATGACGTATTCAGCAAATTTCTAGGTTGAGTGGATCATAAATGGCCTGCGGTTGAAGATTTTTTTTTCACTTTCGAAATATTTTCGCTAAAATCTGACAATATCCCAAATAAGAACAAGTATCATAGATTTAAATCACATACGGGTATATAACTATTTATTTGAACTTAATTTACTCCGTCGAAAGAATTGGTAAAAAGTTGTTTACAAGATCATAGTGGAGATATGAATATTAATAAGGAAATCGCATAGTGATGATAATTCCACCCTTCGGTTTCACACTCCTTAGTGCACATATAATATGATTTAATTTTGTTTTTGATTTAAAAAAAACAAACAAAAAACAGCTAACTCGCATGTGTATAAAATTTACAGTATTTGTAATAATATACATTTCAAAAGATCTGAATAATTGACATTGGAATGTACATATTTACCTTGTTGGCAACCAAGCCCGGCCCATCCACTTTCACAAGCATCACCATCCGGACAACTTCCATTATTCCGATCACATTCCGACGAGCTTTGGCAATGACATTTTTTGGTGCACTGTGGCCCATAAAAACCGTTGGGACACTCAGAATTTGGATCTCTCTCTGTCATGAAGGATAATAAAAAATTAAATTAGCACAAGAGAAGTGTAACATAGATGTGTATAAGAGACAGGGCAATTCCTTGTGTGATCCACGTATGTTCTATATAAGAAAAATAATTATTATAACATTAAAATTAGAAAAAAATATAAAAAAATTGAGTGAATTACTATAGTGATAATGATAAATAATTAAAAATAACATAGATCTATAAGAGTATTATAATATTTAACAATTGGTGATGATGATGTATATAAATATAATGTAATATAATATTCTTAACAATTATAAAATAATAAAACATTTAATTCAGTTCAGTTTTTCTTCGTAACACGATTAAGTCTTTCATCAATTTTGCATAGGTACACATTCTTTTTCATATCATGCTTATTCATTCATATAAGATAAAATAAAATAAAATGAAAGTTTCTTTAATCAACTTTGCATATATGCTCTTAGTCATTATCAGGATTATTGATTCATGTTGTTTTAAAATAGCGTATTTACAAACCTAGACAACGGGTACCAGTGTAACCAGTATGACAAGTGGCGCCTTCGTTGCAACCCTCTGAAGGCTGACATTCAGTAGCGTCACAGTGACAATCAAGAAGGCATCCGGGTCCATACTTGGCTGTTGTTTCAGTGTCACACTCTAATTCACAAAGAGAAGAATGTAATTCAAATGTTAAATTAAAAGCTCTAAAAACAAGGTAAATTAAGATATATTATTTATGTAAAAACCCTCTTCTGTCGGATAAGGTAAGGTTCAGCAAGGAATGATTGGTTGATTAATTGATTAATTGATTGATTGATTGATTGATTAGTGTACATTCACATATATATATATATATATATATATATATACATTTATATATATAATTTGATTAATTGATATAAACATTTCTTATATGTATATAGGCCTATATATATAATATACACTTCTTTATATACCGTAAGAACCAGTAAAATTTTGAGGAAGTCCAGAGTTCTTATTTTTCAACCGATTACAGAATCAAAATGTTCTTATTTTGTTCTTATAAAAACACACTTTTAAAACATAGAAAAGTATTATTTTATAGCAGTATATTACTGTACTGTATTATAGAGGTTATTACATAGTCACACCACTAACTTACAAATAGATTTGTTGGTTTTTCTATTAAAAAAGTAATAATAAATAAAAACCTCAATTGAAATTTTACCTTAACCTCAATTTTTTCTTATTTTGTTGTTAATTTGTAAGCAATTTTAGCTTCAATGTTCTTGTAAAGTGTGCTCTTATATATATATAAAACAAAATGTGTATAGTCATATATATGTAAATATAATCTGCAATTTTCTGCTTTTTTTACCAAAATAAATGAAAAATTTATATTTAAGAAATGAATGTTGTGAAATTTACCTGTCATACAATCAAGGTCTGCATAACCAGACATACAAGAGCAACCGAAAGGGTCGGGTGGACAAAAAAGCTTTCCTTTACACTGTTTAATTTTATTTTTGCTGCAAAATACAGTACAATTGCGCCCCCAGTGATTATCACCACAAGCTATAGAAATAAATAAAGCAGCGTTAGAAGATGATGATATCTAATTCTGCGGTATATGCTTGTTAGGACTATACTTGTTTTTATTATGTTTTATATTGTTGTATTTTGTATGTTGTATCTTATCTATGAAAAACAATAATATCGTGCATGAATGCATGACAAAACATGAAGATAGCAGTTTCACGATTAACAGAAATAAGCATCACTGTTAGATATTGTATATTCTCGCGTATTACAGAAAATATCGTTACCATGTAAATGACATTATTACTACCTTCTTCACAGTTTTCTCCATTGAAGCCCGGAGGACAGATGCAAGATCCAAACTGAACAGAACACACGCCCCCATTGTAACATACGGGGCAGTCGCTTTCACAATCGGGAGGCTGCCACTTCCCACGAGGACACTCTGTCAAAAGAAAGATTGTATAGAAATTATTAACAGTCAAAGGTGTAAATTTATTGAAATAAACCACAAATAATATAAATAAAACACAAAAAATAATAATAATAGGCCTACTTGTTATTATTATTATTATTATTATTATTATTATTATTACTATTATTATTATTATTATTATTATTATTGTTTTTGTTATTGTTATTATTGTTATTATTGTAATTATTATTATTATTGTTGTTGTTGTTATTATAATAATAACAATAATAGTAGTAATAACAATAATAACAAAAATATTAATAATAGTTTAATAATAATAATAATAATAGTAATAGTAATAGTAATAGTAATAGTAATAGTAATAGTAGTAATAGTAATAGTAATAGTAGTAATAGTAATAGTAATAGTAGTAATAGTAATAGTAATAGTAATAGTTATAGTAATAGTAATAGTAATAGTAATAAGAATAAAATCGACTACACAAAGTATTCAACAAAAACAACGTAAAATTTAGCTAAAGTTGCATGGACAACATTGGAACCATACATTCACACAAGAAAATACTAAATCCTGGACAACCTGAACCCGAAAACGGCAAATGCAAATGCAGATAGAAAATTGCCTCATACAGAACGTCATCTATAAAGCCGACATCACCACGCAAAACGACACAAAACAGTATATTGGACTAACGGAAAAACTTTGAAATACAAATATACTACACACAAACACTCATTTAAACACCGCAAGCATCAGAACAGCACAATATCTGTCCAATACTCGTACAATATTACTAAACCTTGCAATCTATGCCTAGCAGAAGATTATTACATAATCGCATACGATCGTCACAAAACATTGAACAAACGATCCGAGTTGATTTGTGCCTGTCACCAATGCAACAAATACTTAATACCCAAAAACTGTTAATTTCGACACCCACGTTCTAAATTCTCATGCCCAATATGTTTAGTATACCTGTTCCTGATCGAAACAACTTTCACCCACCTGCAAATTACACATCACCTATATATACCATTCCTACAGCTCATTCACTCAGACCTGAAGATTGTACATTGCATGAAACTGCAATAGTCAAAATAATTTAAACGTATTGTTGTTTACCTATAATATATATATATATATATATATATATATATATATATACAGTATGTATATAATTATACATATAATTATACATATATATTAATATAATAATAATAATAATAATTATAATAATAAAGAAAATTAATAATAGTAATAGAAAATAATATTAATATAGTAATAATAATTATATAAATAATAATAAGAATAATAATAATGATAATAATAATAATAATAATAATAATAATAATAATAATAATAATAATAATAATAATAATAATATTAATATTATTATTCAATTATATGCTAAAATTGATTATAGTATACCAGGGAACAGTAACTGTTCCCTAAATATCATTTATGTACTAAAATTTACCTCTAACAATTACTCGTAGTATACCGTGTTTACCCAAGTGCCGTTGCCCTTTTGGGTAGCATTCGTAGATACCAGCGTCTTTTTTCCGAACATTTACAAGAGTCAAGTTGTTTAACCCTTCCCACTCCATGGTATCGGATCCCCCATCTTTTTTCCATCGTAAACTGCTAGCTTCAACGTCATCTAAAGTCATTACCAGTTCAACAGTTTCACCGACACTGGTTGTAACACTTCTGTTTTCTGCAATAACTCTGGCTACAAAAAGAAAACGAGGAACACAGAATCGTTTTACGTTTCAGACACGCACTACTTCAGTTTTCTCTGAGGTTTATATTTGAAAAAGACTTGATTTCTAGTACATCTTAGATTGAGATAGATAGAGGATTGTATTGTTTTAATTCTTAGAATAAGGATGTATTGTTATCACAAAACAATGCAGAGTATATTAACAATTCGTTTAGCAATTACTAATTAAGTTATCAATTCAATAATACATTGTGAAGTTATATAATAGATACAAAATATAGTTTATGCAACAGTGCATGGGTATAAACATCATGTCAATCAAAGGTATTCAACGAAAGGGTTAATGATCTAAGTTGTTGATGGGTGGTGTGACATATCATTCGAATGTATTACTAAACGTGTCTTCGAATTACGTATGTATGGTTTGAATTTTTATTGGGAGGTTTGACTTTTGATCAGATGATTTTATTTCTGCTTGAATGGTTTTGTTTTTTTATTGTGTGCTTTGTATGTGCATAACATCACATTCCTGATGATGACATAATTAATGTCGAAATATTGAATCCCAACACGATGGCGTGTATTTCAATACTTGGAGTATGTATTATACTTTCTTATACATTTGTATTTTATATAAAACATTTAATGATTTGACTTTTATTAGACTGTTTGATTTTTTAATTACTGGTTTGGTTTTATCAATGAATGTTTCTTTTATTTCTTTTATTTATTTATCTATTTATTCATAAACTATGTTTGATTTTGAGTTGAATAGCGTTGGTTTTTATTATATGGTGTGGATAGCGTAGTTCTGGCGGACTTGGCTTGCCATAGACACACATGCATTTACACGCAAACCAACATAACTACAGTAAATACGGTACACCCACCTTTTTTTGCTAGAAACACCATTGAGGTTGAAGCTTTGTCGCCATTGAATTCTGTCCACGTGTATTTCACACCGACTCTGCGTACAGCAACACTAGATGTGAATGTGAGTTGACAATTTTTTGCAATAGGACCAATATTGGGTGTTGATACGCATGGTATATAGCTCGTACCGGATGTAAATATAGACTTGTCTATATTGGGCTTTAGATTTATTAACTCAGAGTCTCCATAGTGTGTTTCGTTGTCGTCCACCCACAAAGCGACACCAAACATAACGTTTTCGTTTATGCCGTCAATAAAACTGGTGTAGGCGCGCAGGTCCGTTGCAGTATTACCATCCACAATGAAGGATGTACTAAATGCTGTAAGATCAGCTACCTTGCCTAATATATAAGCGTATTGAAATACTTTATTTTCAAATCATTTT